TCACATTACTTTAGGGGGGTTATCCTGGCTGAACTTAATCGTAATTTGGTTTCACAGAAGCACTGGCACATAAGTTAGCATGGAGATTTATTCTGTGCAGCTCACTTCCTCCAGACCAGGCTAACAATCAGGCTCGATCAGTCCTGGTGCCTGATTTGTTCTGTCAGCAGTCACACTGATCAGAAACCAATGAATTCTTTTACAGTTAATCGAAAAAATGTGATGGTCATTGTTACTGACTGTACTCATGAAGATTGCTGTTGATATTGTTAAAAGTTTGAAGAATGTAATTGAAGTAATTAGAGTCGGAGGATAAAGCTGCAAAGACATCTTGAGTTAAGTGTGTGTGTGTGTGTGTGTGTGTGTGTGTATATATATATATATATATATATATATACACACACACACACATACACATACATACATAGCCTATATGGGTCATTACACAAAACAGTGGACATGCAGTCACTGAGCTTATTTTTACAGACACCAAAATCCTTAAAGTTAACATGATAATGATGTTACTTATCTGGCCATCTTGACTACATAAAGACTCTGCTTTCATTGATAAAACAAAGTTTAATCATGTAATGTTCAATTTTATTATCAAATAATTTAAAAGGCTAAGTTCAAGAAAGTGTCACTTCATCAGCCTACATGGGCCTGGAGCCATATACGTAGGCCATTTTTCATTTACTTTTCTTTCATGAATTAAAGCCGTCCCTGGTAGGCTAGTGGTTAAGGCACAGCGCACTTGCTGCTCTCCTCGGATTGAGATCAGGATTGTGTCAGGAAGGGCATCTGACGTAAAACACGTGCCAAATGTCAAAATGCGAGTCGTCAGTGTGATGATTTGCTGTGGCGACCCCTAAATGGGGTCATGAATTACTTCAGTCTCATTTACGTTTACATGAATATTACATTTACTCTATTAACGCTGAACTTTAAAAAAGCTAATTATCTTTAATAACATCAAAGAGATCAGCCACCCAAAACAGGTCTGTCAGAAGGAAGAGGCCACATTTCACCCAGATGTGCTTGAATTCCCCATAAATGTCCATGAGTGCGCATGCTCTGTGTGTCTGAAATATGCCGCACATGTCTTCGATGGGTGTGGTCAAAAACCCAACCAGCACAGTGCTGTTCGTGCTGGTTGTGCGTGGAGTCTGTTCATCTTAACGACACCATCTAACACGCGGCGTGCCGTGTCTGTTGAAGAAAGCTGTCAGCACCCATTCATCTGAATTACTTAGACCTGGCCTCACCTAGCTGCATCTCCTCAACCTGGCTTTGCCTTCATGAAACACATTAAGCCAAGATGCACTTAGTAGACTAGGTCAAGCCTCGCTTTGTCTTGTTATCCTGGATTTCTTATTCTGCTTTTGTGCAACACCCGCAGGTTTGGTCTGTTCACACTTCTGTGGAAATATGAGTCCCTGGAGGGAAACTTCAGATTCGGGAAACATAGCTTTTAGCTGTGATGCTTATGGTTACAAGTAGGGGCCAGGAAATGTGTTATGTCAATGAGTGTAATCACAACTATATATAAACCAATGTGTGGATCTTGTGGGTGTATATAAATAGGTGCCTGAAGCTGACAAGAAAAGCCCTGTACTTTTGTCAGTTTCCTTTAAACTCGGTGAGGGACTGCTCACCCTGCATTATTGAAACCCGTCACACCCAGCCAGGGGATCTGCTTCCTGACATCACTTCCTGCCCTCATCTGCTGGTCATTCATAGCAGCAAATAAAAGAATGTGTTAGGGTTTAGCATCATCTCATCAGGGGTTATTTGTTTGACAGACCCCCACATCACAGACGAGCTCACACCTCTTCATCTGCACCACTAGAGGACCGAGCTGAATGTTAACCCAAGTATAAGTAGATGTTACAATAGTTGTCATGGCACCAACATAAAACCATGTATTATTACTTTTCGCTTTCAATGGCACCTGTTTATTCACTGTATTAGATTTTTTTTAGTGGTTTCCCCTGTTGTTCCAGTACTTTTAGTTAGTCATCACAACTGCTGTCTGAAAACTGCTTATTTAGAGCATGTATCCAGCTATTACCTATGGGTAGTACCCAGAACATTTAGCTAGTTGAAGTTTTAGCAAACTGTTCCTGCCTCTCGTTGCTTGCTACAGTGAGGAACAAAAGTATTTGAACACCCTGCGATTTTGCAAGTTCTCCCACTTAGAAATCATGGAGGGGTCTGAAATTCACAATGTAGGTGCATTCCCACTCTGACAGAATTAAAAAAAAATTTCAGGAAATCACATTGAATGATTTTTAAAGAATTTATTTGTCTTGCACTGCTGAACATAAGTATTTGAACACCTGAGAAACAGCAAGAATTCTGGCTCTTAAAGACCTGTTACTGTGCCTTGAAAAAGTCCACCTCTACTCCACTCATTAATCTAAATTAGAACACCATCCCTACTGTGAAGCATGGAGGTGGTAACATCATGCTTTGGGGGTGCTTTTCTGCGAAGGGGACAGGACGTCTGCACTGTATTAAGGAGAGGATGAATGGGGCCATTTATTGTGAGATTTTGAGCAACAACCTCCTTCCCTCAGTCAGAGCATTGAAGATGGGTCGTGGCTGGGTCTTCCAACATGACAACGACCCGAAGCACACAGCCAGGATAACCAAGGAGTGGCTCTGTAAGAAGCATATCAAGGTTCTGGAGTGGCCTAGCCAGTCTCCAGACCTCAATCCAATAGAACATCTTTGGAGGAAGCTTAAACTCCGCGTTGCTCAGCGACAGCCCCGAAACCTGACAGATCTAGAGGAGATCTGTGTGGAGGAGTGGGCCAAAATCCCTGTTGCAGTGTGTGCAAACCTGGTCAAGAACTACAGGAAACGTTTGACCTCTGTAATTGCAAACAAAGGTTTCTGTACCAAATATTAACACTGATTTTCTCAGGTGTTCAAATACTTATGTTCAGCAGTGCAAGACAAATAAATTCTTTAAAAATCATACAATGTGATTTCCTGATTTTTTTTTAATTCTGTCTCTCAGAGTGGGAATGCACCTACAATGTGAATTTCAGACCCCTCCATGATTTCTAAGTGGGAGAACTTGCAAAATCGCAGGGTGTTCAAATACTTCTGTTCCTCACTGTAACTAGTTTTCACACTCTCATTTGCATCATGTGGTGTTAATGTGGTACAGCTGACTGGGAAGCTTACTGGTCATTGTAAATGTACCTTAGATTACTCTGATTTAGCATTTTATTTTCCTCCATAACACATGTGGATGTATTTTTGAAGCAAATATCTACTAAAGACAGTTTTCAATAAGTTCTCAGCTCTGCCTGTTGTCAGTTGTGTACTTTCTTTAAAGAGTCAAAACCACATTCACTTAGGAAAAAACATGACAAATTTCTTGCCCTGTGTGTGTTGGACAGTTGGGGCAACTACTGTGCATGCAGGTGGATGTTTCCCCAGACACCAAATGAAGGGTAGATGGATTGACAGGTTGATTTTTTTTGTGTGTGTTTTTAATTTTGAAGAAAAAGAAGAATCTTCAGAATCTGCTTTACTGGCCAGGTGTGTCGGACACACGAGGAATTTGACTCTAGTACATCGGCTCTCGATGTGCATGTATATATCCCCATGCAAGGGGCGAGTAAACAGTAAACCAACATAAGGCTGTGTAGTATAACCAAATAAGCCGTATTAACAGCAACAACAGTGCAAACAATCAAAATAAGCAGTATAAACAGGTAGTGAATGCTACCTTAGCATCTGAGCTTTCTAATCACAGTAACCAGCCCTGTCTTTATTATGAACATGTGATTAAGCGGTGCCCTACTTCTGGTTTTAATTCTAGTGAACTCCTGCAGCTGCCAGTCTGGGGGGCATAGTGTTGTTTTAGTGTTTTTTGTGTGTTCACCTCATAAAAAGCTGTCTCTCGTCCCTCTGAGCCATCAGTGACCACACTGTTGCACTGGCAGACATGTCCCTTCACCATGAACACACACTCTAATTTACTCTGACTCAGTCCCACACACACCATCCTGCTGCCAGCGATACTCACTGGAGACCAAATGTGGATTCATCTGTCTCTGGAAGTAGTCTCCAACAGATGCACAGTTTCTTCCTGTTTCTGCAACGTGTACTAAAAACTTTTGGTCCAGCTGGAAATTACTGAGCATTTAAAAAAATGAAAAAACCTTGCAAATATATAGTTTCATGTTTTGTCTTTAGGGGACGGCAGTCAGTGTTGTTTTTGGTCTTTTTGTTGAACATTAGAAACCTACTGTATAGACTCACCCTGTAGTAGCTCCTGCAGAGTTCATGTTGACCTGTGAAAATCTCATAAAACAAAGCTTCCACTATGCCAAACAGTGTATAGATATTTGTGTGAACAGAACTACTAGATCCCATCATCGCTAGAACCCTCTCAGTGAACAGCACCAATCTGAGTATAAAACAGTGGTAGAAAGAGCTTTTAGGTCATTTAAAGCAGCATATCACACTAAAGAAAACCACATGAACAATCCTGGAAGCAGAAGTATAAGCAAAAAAATGCATTTGTTATGCAGACTGGTCCCTGTAAGTTTATGCTTTTATTTAACAGCATTTATTCTTAATGCATTAACTGGTACTTTAATTAAAAGTAAAGCAGATGTTAATGCATCATTGCACAGCTTCATAGGGCTGCAGACTGTGGGCTCATTCTCCATAGGTTTGTCACTATAAGCTTTTTTCCATTTGATGTGTTGCAAATATTAC